CTTTCCTTTCCCAATGGCACTGGTTTAAACTTTGAGTTGCTAGACAGTAAGTGGTAATGCTGTCATCCGAGATTTATGTGCGCTGCAGTGAAACCGTCAGTAAACACGAGGATGCGCTAAGGGCTGGAGCAGGGAAGTGGCAGTGAACCGGGCAGGAGAGGCTTAAACACGTATGCCATAGGAGAGCGGCCGCAGAAGTCCGGTAATTTCCAAAGCAGGCTGTGTCATGCTCTGTGCAATATTCCAGTCAATCTAATGCAATGCTCACTTTTTTTTCATTAACCTCCAACGCAACCTCCCCATCTGCAGAATTAATCACTGCTGGAAAACTAGACAAGTATTTTAGAAACAACAACCTACTGCTTTCGTCCCTAGCAACTTTTTTTCAGGTCTTTCAGTTCATTGACCACACTTGCGATCTTACAGATTCCATTTATAAGCTATATATTATTGCATACGCGCTTAAATAATTCCTACCTTTATTGAAGAGTGGCCTTTGCCCACTAGAATATCCTAAAATTGAGACACTCCCAGCTCAGATGAGATTCCCAGCAGCACACTGGGGTGCTTTCACCTCAGGTTTGGAAGAAGCTGGTTTTAATGGGTTTGAGAGCTGGATGTTATTCCCAGGGTATTTCCTTGCCTGTCTAGGAACTGAGCTAGGAGAGTGCATGTTTCAGGCTCTCAGTTAGGAAATCCCGGTTGCTTGTACCAGGCTGTAAAACCACACAGTGTGGTCCCCCCCTCAGCACAACCTTCCCAAAAACTTTTCATCACGGGTGGCCAAAAGTCACCTCTTCCCCAGAAGCACAAGGGAGAGCCCATCTCTCCCCCATGTCTCTCTCCCACTCGTCTTGCTTGCTCCATGGGTGGGAAAAATCCCAAAAGATGGGTGCCTTGACCTCCTGCCCTCGTTCCCCCTGCACTTTCCTTTCCCCAGCCCTGCTTTCCCAGAGACCACAGCCGTGCTGATGTGCAAATCTTCCATCATCTGTTCAGGTTATATCTTTATAATATCATATTTTAATAGGGTAATGTGGTGAGGTCATTGCAACCGGCTGCACTTTTATTTCTGTGCGGTCGCTATAGCAGCAGAGGTCGAAGCAAAACATATAGTTCACCAAAGCAAAGTTTCCTGGCTGATGATGTTCATTTTTCTTTATGAGCTGACTTTGGAAGACAGCAGAGTGGCAGCTAATGGAAACTCGAGCGTCTTTCTCTCTCCCCTGTCTGCTTCTCCGTCTCCGCAGCAATTGAGATAAAGGTTAGACATCTGGTTTGGATCTGCTCTGTTTAACCAAAGAAAAGCCCCGCTCCTGCTGTCTCGTAAATCATCCCGCAGCTGGAGCGCAGTCCCGGCTCTTTGCTGGGGCTGTTTACCCCGCCACGTCCAATTTAGCCGTGGGTTTCGCTTTGGGAAGGGCTGCGCTTCCAGCGAGCTGCCTGCTGCCATTTTGTGAGTGGTCCCTGGCTGCTGGGCTGGGGCTCTGGACGGGTGGCAAGGGCTGCGACGGTATCATGGGTTTACGATTATCTCGGGATGTAAAGCAAGCTCCCTGTGGGGTGCTGCTCTTTGAGAGCGAGCGCCCTGCCCCAAAGAGCTCATGGGAGCCCAGGGGCTGTGACACATGGGCAGAAAGCAGATTGTCACCTAAAAAACCTAACGTCTTCCAAATTTCCTTATCTTGGCTTCTCATCTCCTCGTTACTCAGAGGTGTAATAGTTTTAGGGTTGGGAGATGTGTTATTTCCATCTCACAAGTGGGAAGGAGAGACGAAAGGGAGGGTGATGGCCATGCAGAAAACCCATGGCCAAGGAAATGCCCACGCTTATGTGTTAATTATCTGAACATCTTTTCTCCAGGCTTGGCTGCTTCAAGTTTATCTGCATCCGTGCTGAAGCACTGGGATACAGTCCTAATTTCCAGGACTGCCTGGCGTGGAAAGCATCCTTTTCCTCAAACTCTTGACCTTGCCATGTCAGCACCGATGGTGGAGGGTGTTGCTTTGGCCTGGCATTGCTGGAAAACCCACTTTAACTGGAAGGAGCTAGGCAGGTACATACATACACTTATATACTTCTAGACTGGCTTCTTTCACTGATGTAGTAAATTTAATAGTGGCTAATAAAGTATGTTAGAGCTACTTTGGCTCTCCCTGTAAAGGTTTCCCAAGAAGGCTGTGATTAAATGCAAAGCTACAGCATTAATAGAACCTAAGCAAGCATCAAATGCCAGTGCTAGCCTAAATTTAACGGTCTGGCTGCGATGCTTAAGTCTTCTGCATGCCCTACTCTTGATTTTTATGATACCGTCAGTGTCATAAAAGGTTATGTCTGTGCTCTGCTGTTGAGCCCTGTGGGTTTCACCAGCAGACTTGTAGCTCGCTTATATCCAAGGGCAGCATGTTCATCCCAAAACCACCGGGTTTCAGTTCCTGCGAGTGAGATGTGAGACCGGCTGTTGCAAAAGACATGTAGCAGTTCGTCCCAGGGACTGTCCGCTCTCAGCCTTTAGGGCAGTTGCCCTAAATCTCTGGAGATTTCTGGGAACAGGGCTAGTGTAGGTCGGGTTGACCCTGCCTTGGAGACCCACATAAAGTCCAAGCAAGTCTTGGATTTAGTGCTTTATCTTCAAGTCCTAATGCTAATTCTGTCCCAGACAGCAGAACTACCAGCCTTTGTTTTACCAGTGCCCCTCCTGACGTGGTGTTTCACACTAAAGTTGCCCAGAGGAAGCCACAAAGTCCTACATCCCCTCCTGCATCCACACCTCCTTTGAGGAGCGGGTCCTGCTTGTCTACACGTGAACCCCTGCTGCAAGTCAGGATGCTCATTGGTGGCCAACAGTACCTGCGTGAGGTTGGAAGACATGGGGAAGGTGATAGAGACTGGTCTGGCAACGAGAGATGCGGTTTATAGGCACTGACAGTATCTTTTCTTAGGCTGATGTGCCCCAAGAACACAGGCTTTCAGGCACACGAGTCCTTTTTGGGCTGTCAGCCCAACCATGGGACATGTTCTCCAGCGGCTTGCTCTAGGGTTCATGCCAAAAGATGGAGAGACCTTCTAAACAGGGTTAGACCCCAGAACAGGTCTTCCCCAAGAGACTTGGCTTCTAGTGAAGCTCTTTTAGTTCACGGCGTGCCCTCAGCTTATGGAGGAATGCTGGTCTTGCCTTCAGCTTTTATGTCTTTGCTGTCTCACCCTCAAGCAGGGGTGGAAGGCTGGTGCTGTACCTTTTGAAGCAAAATCGTGGGCATTTTTGATGCAGGGGGTTTAGATGGGATGCCTGCACAAGAAGTCCTGCTTAAAGGACTGTGTCCTCTGGGTTACAGCGCATACGTCCATCACGCCTGTCTGGAGTTCATCAACACAGTGTCTATATTTCTTTTAGGATGCTGTAAGGAAATGGTTTCATAAGGGGATGGGAACTATTTAGTCAGAACTAATTTGTCTGCAGAAAAAGCACATTAGGGGAGCAGCCCCATCCCATAGCACGGGGGACGTGACGACTGGGGGGATGCTCATAAACGGCGAAGGCCACCCCAAAAGCAGCGGGATGCAGATGCCGGGGCTAACCCCCGGCAGCCAGGAGCGGAGCGAGCTGCTCCAGGCTCTGCTGGGCTGGGCTGAGCTATTTTTACTCCTGGTCTGGTCCTGCAGCCACGCTGGCAGATGCGCTCCCAGCTGCAGATGACTTCCATGTGTAACCCCGCGCAGCTGCTGGCCGGGGGCCCGGGGTGGAACACGCTGCCTTAAAAGGCTGGGGAGAGGCGACTGCAATGCCCCGCAGCCCTGGGGATTGGAGGGGAGGGGATGGGGGGGCCCCTTCCCAAGCCGCCTGCTCCCCCCCTGCACGCTGTGAAAGCCTGAGCTGTGCCTTCACATGCAGGGGCACTGCACAGTCCATCGAAAGCAGCTTTCCTGGAAAGCAGAGGCAGCGCTGGCATTGGGAAAACCCATGGATTTAGGAGCTCAGCCCCACGGCCAGAGCTGCCCCATGCCCTGGGGCGATGTCGGGTTCTTCTGCTTTCTGCTTTTGGGGGGGGGCTTTGTGGAGGGGCAGGGAAATGGGCATTGTTGCTGTGAATTTTATCTTCACCCTGGGGGGGAAATCATCACGGCTATGGACAGCAAAGGAGACACCCAACAGTGCCCAAGGGGTCATTAAGTCAGGCAGGTTGGAAGGGAGCTCCGGATGCCTCTGGTCCAACACCCTGCTCAAAGCAGGGCCAGCTCAGGGCCGTGTCCTGCTGAGTTTCAGTTCCTGCAGGATGGAGATTTCACCACCATCTCCCGAGACATACTAGTTTCTGCCTTTTTCCAGGCTGGAAAGCTCCAGATTACCAGCAGCACCTCAGTGGTGTCCCCCTGAATAGCCATATTAAGTCCATCTTCCCTTTAAGGTCCCCTGGGATGTGCCTCCAAAGAAATGGTTTCCAGACTCTGGAAGATCCCTCCACTGGTGCCCACCATGGCTTTAACAAAGACAAACACATGAATTTCTCAAAACCTCCATTAGACTTTATTTAAAAGTTCTTTGTATAGACTTCCTGACACAGAATCCACAATAAAAATAAAATCCCCTTCCCACCCACTGCCCCCCCCCCTTCCCCAAATTGCTTTGCTTTGTATTTTATAAAACATATAACATCAGAAGAATGCCAGAGGCATCCTACACCACAATTTCAAAATTTGTTAACTGAGGCCTTGGTCCCAGCAGTGCATTTGCATTTGGAAACCTTGCTGACTTTTCCTTGCTAGTTCAGTTGGCCAGACGTGTTACAAATGCATACAAGAGATCTAGTTTGAAATCTAGTCCAGCAAAAGGAGAAGAAAAAAAAATAAAAGTAAGAATGAAAAATTGAATGGCTTGTTTATCAGAATGAGTTACTCTCTTACACAAAGGCTTCCCCTGTAAAGTTATGCTCAGTTATGAAAAGGATAAAAGCAAGCGTGTAACAGTTGCAGTGAAATTATTACAAATTTTTTTTTTTTGTCTCATTTTTATGGTGCCTTAGATAGGCAGACTGCCGGAATCAAAACAAAAGGGTAATTTAGAGACGGGTTGAGAGACAATAACCATCTGCAGTTAGGTAAATATTTGGTAATGTTAAAGCTATACAATATAACCCGGACACACGTAGCACTCAGTCCACAAACAGTTTAGCACCATATTGATAGGTCATGCAGCAAAACACTTTCTTCAAGGTTTGCTTGGAAGTTAAAAGCATGAGATAGTACAGTGCAAGGTAGTCTATACCCTTAGCTTCTATAGGGGTAGGGTGGCGATGGCTGATGCTCCTGGCTGTCCCAGAGGTATGTGTTGGCAGGTTGCTGGCTCTATGTTCCCATTGTTGTCACCACGCCAGGGCTGATGTTACCTGAAAAGGTTGGATGGAGAAACAGAAAATAAACAAGGTTATTCCGTGTATGGGAAGCTGTGCAGGATATCGAGGGAGGATAAATGGGGTTCATCGCCAGGGCTTGTTACAGAGTCCAGAGCATCACAGCCAAGCTCCCTGTAGCCATGCACCAAGCTGGGGATGCCCAGGGCTTGGCTGGCCCCCTCTCCAGCCACGCACGCGCTGCTTACCAGGGACGCAAACTTTTTCACATTCTTTCTGTGTGTTAAATCTGTTCTCATTGCCTCCACAGCCGCCGTACCAGAACCGGGCGCAGCTCTTGGTCTCGGGGTCGTAGTACCACTTCAGCACAAAGTTTCTGCAGGTCCCCTCGTCTTTCTGGAGCCGGCAGATATCCGTGACTGTGGATAAAGGCGGGAGCAAAAAGAGTCAGCAATTGTACTCCTGCGTGAAACGCAGCCTCTCTGAAGGTATTTGCATGGTAGAGAAACGCCTGGGAGCAGGGCTGGCATGCAAGCTCAGAAAGGGCAAACACAGCATAGACTTTGCACATCTCCTGTGACTGAATCCCATCTCTTAGTTTGCAAAGAGGTCACCAGCCCTGATCCACAAGCACTCAGTCGTGTTGCTGTCGTACATCCACGGAGTGATGCTGAGATGAGGGAAGTGCAGTGCCTGGCAGCATTTGTCTGCAAATCCCCAGAACTGCTGGGGAAATTCAGGTCTTGAAGTTACCTTCAGATAATCTTGTCTTGGGATCGTGCTTTTTGTAAACCAGGTGCCAGAAATCAAGCTACTTAGAGGGCTTGTCTCTTGAATTGTGGTTAATGGTCCCGAGTATAGGAAAATACATACTGAATATAGTATATAGGTGCAGGGTGAATATATAAAAAGATGCATTTGCAAGCAAGTTTCTTTAGGGTCTGCTGAGAGCAAAGGCACGCAAAACGCTTCTAAAGTTTTCATGGGAAGAACAATGCAGACGATTATCCCTGAAATCCCGACTAGAAAGTAGGTCTGGCAACGACCCCTAGGCAATAAGAAAGCCCCGGCAGTGGCTTTAGTTTGAAGGAAATTGCAGCTGTTGCTGGCAGCTGCCCAGAGCCCAGGAACGCTGCAGCGAGGCTGGGATGCTCCTGGGGCGGAGATGGAAATGCCCAGACCAATATCAGGCATGCTTCTGGGCAGACCCTGCCAAATGTCTAAATCTTTCTGCCCGCTCAATTTAATTGCATTTTTCCTCTCTGTGTCGTGAGCGACTGAACAGATCACTGCCAGAACAGTGCAAAGTGGGCAAAGGGGTCAGACTCCAGCGGTCCGCACTCCTGTGGTCACGAAGGAGACTGCGGGGTTTGTTCGAGCAGTGGGTTTGCTGCTTAGATAGGAGGAGCTGTGAATATGTCCTTTCCTGAGAGAGGAGACATCTGAAGGGATGTTCCTGCCCATCATCTAAACGCAGCTTTTTGAAGCAGGATTTCTTTTTTAATCTCTGTTTTTCCTTGGAATTTGAAATCAATATTGACCTTCCAGTTCAGCTTTGCTTTTTGTCTCCTACAGCCGCATGCCTTTGGCAGGCTCTTTGCCTTTTTTTTATTCAGATCTTTTTTCTTTTCAAAGTCCATCTCCCTTCTTTCCTGCCTTCCGAACTACTGAAAGCCAGCAGATGCGAATACAAGAATGACTCTACCCCCAACCCCCCCACACCCTTTCAGGAATCCAACCAGTAATCAAAACATTCAGCTGATGGGAGGTATAATACAACTTTTCTATGTGGCACGGGGTCCAGGCAGCCTAGCTTCCCCCCCTCTTCATCCCCTTTGAGAGTGGAAGCAGCCTTCAGGATCAGCAAATGCACAGGGAAATTCAGCTACCACTTGAGGCAGATCTGGCTGCAGGAAAGCTGCTGGAAATTCACTTGAATAGCCATCTTCAGTTTGCCTGCCTTAATATTCACACTGCGGGGGCTCGTGCCACTCTCCAATTTCAGACCACCATCAAACACCATCTGGCAACTCCTCCAGCTGGACCACTGGATGGCATTTTAACCAAAACCTCCCCTCCTTCCAAAAACTCCAAGCCCAAAACACAAGAAATGAAACAAAAGCTAATCCCAAAATTTCAAAGAATTGATGGAGGGCAAGAACCAGGGAGATAAAATGTGTTTTAAGCTGTGGCTGGCTCTAAAAGGTTCAAAAGATGGGGACAGCTACTGTAAGCCAGGGGTTTAAGTCATCCCATGGAGAAAATGTGCCTGGGCTCTTCAGTTGCACTTACAGTTAATTTTGTCATGGTAAAAAAAAAAATAAAATATATATATATATGTGTATAAAGAGTTCAATAATGGAAGGTTACCACAGCATTCAAATGGGAGTTGGGCATGGTGCGTGTTTTTGCATCAAAAGACCCCAAAGGTTGGGGAGATCAACTCGTTTCTCAGCATTGCACCTGGCTATGGTACGTGGTGTGGGCTAAACCGAGAGCCCGGCCCAAAACCCGGCGTTCCCAAAGCTGAGCTGTGCGTGAATTCCCATGTCTCTTTTTCCATGGTGGGTTCAGGCTCTGGTTTTTGCAGAAAACAGAGACTAGAGAGAAAGTGGCAAATAGAGCAGGGGACCCCGGTGGGGCAGGCAAAGATGCAAGCATCCCTCCAGGGCCCCTCGGTTGCTTTTCTTGACTATCTACCCAGGGCAGAATGGTGCCAAGTTAATGAAATATCACTTTAGCCTGAACAACAGTTGCTGGAAACATCATCAAGGCATGTGACGATGACCAGAAGGGGCTGGTCTAGGGGATGGGGCTAGCAGAAACACGTGCCCTCTGAAGAAAAGCACACTGGGGAGTCTTCCCTGGTCTGTGAGGATGAAATCCTGCTCTAGATTGAAACCACAGGTTTCTGCACGAGCTGTGTGCTGCTTCCTCTGTCTGAAAAGTCCTCCAGCTACGAGCGATGGATCTTTGTCCACAATGCCTGCTTGCAGCCCAGAAGCACCTCGCAATCTCCTTTTGCAAGCAGCTGCCACCCCAGATGTCCCCATGCCTGGTGGTGGCCTCCTCCCCGCTTGCCGGCGTGTTTTTGCGGGGGCACCCACAGCTGGACATGGGCTGCACCACTGCCAGCGGCAAAAATTCCCGAGGCTGATTTAAGGAGCCTAAAATACACCTAAGAAAAGTCAAATGGGTTGGGGAGGGATCCTTAATTTGCCTTTTCAAACCCTGTCGTGCCCCTAGGAGGATTAGAGCCCTGCTGTCAGGTACCAGAGCTTGCTTTGCTCCCAGATTTCCCTCCCGTCCCTGCAAAGGGCCCTGAAACACCACTAGAAGGGGGGGGCTGCTATGATAGCAAGGATTTGCCGGCGTCGGGTTCCCATCCCAAACCCCTTGCTTAACCAACACAGGTGATTCCAGGTCTCTGCTTCCTTTCCAAGTCTTGAAGAGGTTTGTAAACTCAACCCCTTCATCTCAGAAACTTAAGAGTTTCTTGAGGAGCGGAGGTTATTGCCATTTTCCTCTGGGCTCCACCCTCAACTTTGATTTTTATCTTTTGGTGCAAAACGAAAACATCTGCACGTGAGACACAAGCTCCATGGAGTAATTTTCCATCAACTGTTTTGGTTACAGGTAGTAAAACATTTGCGGTTCTTTGCATCTCAGCAAAGGCACACCGCTGAATGGCAGCACCGAGAATTCATCAGCGCGTCATTGCAGCGATAATACAAACTGCTTTGGGACCACACCAGGCTCCAGTTCAGCGACTGCATGCTTCTCAGGAAATCTGGTGAGTGATTTTGCTATACAGCTGTGGTTTCCACTCGGGTCGTGCAAACACAACATTTCCTGGTGTGACGACACGCATGCAAGGTGGCTTGCTCATGCAAAGCAGATGGTAGGGCATGGTCATGTCAAGGAGCAAATGAAAACCAAGTCTCTGCTACTGGTGATCTTGTACTGGACAAGCTTGGATGCATGCTATGGAATGGTCAAGGTGAAATAATGGATTTGCTTTGGTTTGTGATGACTGTGAATTTTTTTGGGGGGGGTGTTACCTGACAATCTTTTCTCAAGGGGTGGCTGCTGCATGGCTTTCTCAGCTGCTGCTGGAGGAAAAAATTGCGTGGGTTTGGATTTTAAGTGATGTTTTCTCTCCAATCCAAACATTATTTTACAGTATGATAAAACACAAAAGGATTGATCCCCATGTGGTACTTACATGGTTTTAAGCATTTGCTAATGCACTCAGCTTCGGCCTCAAATCTATTGGCATTACCACCGCAGCCACCATACCAACCCTGGCTGCAGATCTTGTTTTTGTAGTCAAAGAACCACACAATCTGATAGTCCTTGCACTGCATGCCCATGTCAAAGTCCAGCAAGCAAGGGTCTGGCCAATCTGTTTGTCAAAAGGTGCAAAGGTTAAGTGACTCTGAAAGGGTTAAAAGCTGAAAAAGCAAAGAGATTGAAAAGAAAAAAAAAAAAGCCCAGTGGCATTTCCGTGTGGTGGGATTTCTCTTGCTGAATGCAAACCTTCCCCAGCCTCCAGCTTGCCTCTCCCTGCTCTTGATGTTATCGCACTTCCAAACCCCAAGTCTCTGGACCAAGGTGGTGGGGAGCGCCTTACTCCCCGCAGGTTTGGGTCCTCACACAACTCCCCTCATCTATTTTTAAAGCTCTTTGTCTTTGCAGTAACTTCTAATCCTTAAGTGTGTTTATTTTATCTTAAAGGCAAGACACACCTGGCAGACTTTAAGGCTTGAGGAGGATTTAAACATAAGTTCTTTCCCTGCCCAGAAATTATAATTTAGGTCCAAATCCCAGAGTTTTTATTAGCAAAGATATGCCATCTGTGCTGGCAGCTGCTTTGCCTCTATTTTTAAGGTGGGGGGGGGGGCAGAATTTGGGGCTTCCTCTGAGGTCTGTAGCAAGGTTTCCATGGGGGTCCCTCCTATTGCACAGAGAACTAGAGAAGACTCAGCTAAGCAACCCATCCCAAATCCCGTCCTGTTTAATGTCTTTAGCCTGTTGAAAAACTTCAGATTAGCATCCTCGGGGAATGTTCCCCCAAAATTGCCAGCTGCCATACATCCTTGGGCAGAGACATTTGCTGCAGGTGGGTCAACAAGAGGGAGCTGAGATGCGGAGGTCTGCGTTGAAGCACAGGGTGAGCACACAGCACATCTATTTTCCTTCGGGCAGACCTACGCAAGGCTGCACACCTTGTTTCCAAAGGGCTGGCACACAAGGGGTTAAATGAAGCCATGGGGTTGAGTGTCACCTGGTGGGGACAAGCCAGGTGAGGGCTTAGGGTGGGATGCCTGTGCCAGGGAGAGGGAAGGCGTGGGAAGGATGGGATGATGGGACATGCAGCCAGGCAGCGGTGAGATGGTCCCTGCCCGGCACAAGCCCTCGGCTCTCCACTGCAGCAAGCTCCAGTGGTGCCACCAGCCAGGCAGGAGGTCCGTGCCCATCCCTGCTGGCACAGCGGCCAGACCCCAGCGGCAGCTCCCCATGCACTTGGATCTCCTCGGGAAGAAAACGAGCCCCAACACAAGCAAAACGCTTAAAGGAAAAGGTGAGAGTGGTGGTTCGGGGATGGGTTGGGGATGACAGATCCACAGCTGGTGCTTGCCGCAGGGCTGTGCTGCTCTGTGGAGGCTGAGACCCCTTCCAGACCCGGGAGGAAGGGTTGCAGCCTGGCACTTACGGTACAACGGAGTGGAATAGCACTGATATAATGAGCTTGATGTCAACAAAAGCAATGGGATGACATATTAACAGTAATTATGGGTTATTAGCACAGGTTAACACAATTCACAACAGAGTAGGAGCTGCCAGTGGACTCGCAGATCCTTTGGTCCTAGCGGGGCTTGGAGAAAGGATGGGTTTAGGAGCAGACAAGGGGGAGCCCGGTGACAATGGCCAGGCTCTTGGTGGGGTCCTGGCAGAGCCCCCCAGCCCAGCGCTCCCCCCGTTGCCCACACTCACCACTCTCAGGCCCTTCCAGCGGCTCGGTGTTGAGCATCATGTTGGCCAGGGACACCTTGGGCTGCGCCGGGGTCTCTGGGGAGAAGAAGCAGCAGGGTCAGCCAAGGGGAAGGGGATCTGCCGCAGCACCCTCGGCGTGGCCATAAACAAACTCCCTGGCCCCTGCTCCGGCACAGGGGACACACACCAGTTGCAGGAGTCAGGTCTGGATCTGTTTACCCTAGCACGTACAATTCAGAGATGTTTATTGGAGGCAGCTGACAGGATGAGTAATCCATGACGCCCAGCTGTGCTGGGACGAGCTTGCCTTTATCTCCCCAGCTGGCAGCTCTGCTGCGTGGCTGGGCTTGTCCTTGGGGGTGACTGCAAAGGAGCATCCTCAGGGCCCCACTCACCCCACTGCACGCGACTGGGCAGGGGCTTTGCTCCTCTGGCTTTGGAGATGGCAGGAAAAAAAAAAAGCATCCTCTAGGTGAGCAAATAGTCCACAATGGATCTTCTCTTGTTCCCCTGCAGCTCTCAAGGACTGTCTGTGCATTGCATGCCTCTCTTTGACCACAGTCCTCCCTTCACAGCCTCACGTCCCTCTAGGAACTATGTTATTGAGAGTTGTCACTGGGGGAAAAAATTAATCCCTTGTGGTGGAAAGGAGAGCATGGTTCATACCCTACAGCGCCGTGCCCCTTCCCACGGGCTCGTTTTCCATGAGGCTGGAGGGCAGGAGGGGGCTGCGACCGCAGGGAAAGGGTTGGATTTGCTTTTCTCTGGTGGAGGGTGTGGGTGTGGGGAAGGGGGACTGGCCAGGTCACAGCCTAGGGGCCGATGTGGTGTCACCACCGCCTACCCAGTTTGTTCCTGTTCGAGATTTGCTCTATGGGAAATGCAGCTTCCCTGGCCATCGAGAGCTCCAACTCAGTGCGTGCAAATGTTACTTCTGCACATCGATGTCTTTTCTCAACATTTTTGTGGGCGCATTTATTGCTTGCGAAGGTAAGAGATGCCAGAACTGATCCAAACCCACTGAAGCCGGTGGAAGGGCTCTCTGTGGGTGCTGAAACTGGCTCTGGAGTGCCAGGAGAAGCCAGATGCCAGTGGCTGGACCAGCACAAACCTCTCCACACTACCAAGCCAAGTCACCTCTATGCCAAACTATATATAAAAAAAATTGGCTGTGTCATATACAGCAACATTTGGCCACACCAAAGGGTTTGGTGGGATTTATGCGTGATCTGTACGCACGGAGCTTGGAGCTCCAGAGGAATAAAGCCTCTGTTTAATCTCTTCTTTTTGTTGTTGTGTGTTTTTGTTTTTTGTTTTTTGTTTTTTATAATATAGCATGCGAAGCAGAAGCAGATAGGTGGCTATAGAAATGGCAATTGGAGAAACAGCTTTTCTTGCTTATTTTGCAATCAGGCTGGACTGAATTTACTCCGTGTTAACCCAGTTTGACTCTTATTAATCACAGCAATGCTGGTTGGGCTGCACCAGGACCCCACTGTGCAAAGCCTCCTGCACGCACAGTGAGACGATCATGCCCCTCCGGGACTGGCTGGAATTCTCCCACAATCTGTGTCGATTTAACACCAGCGGAGCGTCAGCTTGCATTTGCCAAAGTTGCATTGGTAGCGTTTCCTAACTGGGACCAGAGGGTGCCAGACATGCAGTGACACAACTGAGCGTTGCCAGGGCTGGGATTGTTGGTATGGACTGACTCACTGTTCCTTACGTGTTGTTTTTTCTCTCTTTTTTTTTTTTGTGTCCATTTTATTAAAAAAAAAAAGCCCAATGTGTGTTTTCCTCAAGAGGTACTTACTTGTGCTGAATGTCCCTGCGTAGGTGACTTTGGGCTGGGACTTCTGGTAGCCGGTGATGACGACGAGGTATTTCTGTCCACTTCTGAGCCCTCGAATGACATGCTCAGTGCCGGTCAGGTTTTGCTTCTGCACGAGAGAGTGGTCATGCGCTACGGTGACGGTGATATCGAACACATAGGCGTTGGGTGGCTCAGGGCTGGCCCAGCGCAGCCTGGCGCTGCTCTCGGTGACGTCTGTGATCTGGATGTCGTGGGTCTTTGCTGCAATGCAAAAATCAGAAGAAAGGCTAAGCCAGGGCTTGAAGAGGAAAGAACTCGTGGAAAAAAGTGTCTTGGTGCTTCAGGAACTCCTTCCCAGCCCACCACAAATCAATTTGTTTGCAGCCAGCTGCAGCATGGGCAAACCGGGTTGTGACTTTGCCATCTCGGATGCCCAACCCTGCACACTGCAGGAAGGCTTTTTTTTTTTCATAGCCTAGATGGTTTACCGAGTGGTTTATTTAGAGGCAGTGTGCCCCCCACCTGGTTTTGCACAAACTTCTCAATGCAGAAGTTGACAAAGCTTCAACCCCCTGCGGTGCAGATTTCCAGTTCTGCACCTAAAAACTTGGCCACTTCGTGACATTTCCCATAGGAATAA